AAACAACCACTATAAATAAATTTATAGTTTTAAATTATTTTTTAAAATGCTATGCCAGAACTCTGCATTTTTAACTTAACCAATCCATAGGATAAAAGAGATGGTACAAATGATCTTATCATCATGGCATCTGAGTGATAGAAATGAGAAACATTTTGTATTCTTCAGAGAAACAAAGGGGACTTGAGCTCTGGGAAGAGTTTTCAAACTGGTGAATGATGGCACTTAGTTTGGAAAATCCCAAAGTTCTAAGGTACATGTTTCCCTGGATACAGTTAAATTTGTAACAATTTATCCCCAGGTCTATCAATTATATTTCCTAAACTAAAAAACACGGCATATTAGTGATAATGCAGCAGCAAGTCTGAACAACCAGTTTGCATAGAAAATAGTATACACATGTCCTTTTTTTCCTCCAGAGTATTGTTTCTTCAAAGATCTTATCTGGAAATTTAAATAAACAAGTAAAAGCCAAAGTATTCTGGTCAAAATGAGTGTGTACATGGGAGATGGGGGTGAGGATTAGAGAGCAGAAGGACCATGACTCCCACTAGCAATCACAACAGCTGCAGCGGCACCTTAAAAGAGCTTCTCAGAATCCCTTCAAAAATCTCTTATTTAAATTCAGATGATAGCTTAAACTAAAACATACGGATTCATAAGCAGCCTAGAGGGAAAAAGTTCTTTATGTATCAGTTAACTGAGAGAAATGTCATACTAAACTGAAAACTGGTCAGATTATTAGAGCTCAAAGCAAAATGCCCAAAAACAAACACATCCAAAATTCAAGTATAAGGGCAGAAACATTAAAAGAGGGGAATTGATCTATTTGATAAACACTTGCTCAACCAATTCTTTTACCTGAACAAGTGCAGAAAACACATGGAAATGTGTATCTTAATAGATGCTCTCTCATGTAATTTTCTCACCCCAGCATGCAAATCTAAATTTATTATTAAAATTAGGAAGTCATCTATCCATTCTTTTGGGCATCTAGATAGATAGTTTTTGTTTTTCCAAGACAGGCAAAACTGATGATTACTATTAATTTGTTACTACCTTTTCAATGTAATGAGGTATAACTTTTGTGCCCAAACTTCAAAGGCATGTAAGTGAAGGTAATGGAGGTTTGTTTGGGGTTTTTTTTTTTAAATCACTAATTTAAAACATTCAGTAGGAAAAGAAGAGCATTCAACATTTTTCTCTTTCTAGCCCAGAAAGGTTAAACTAAAAATTCAAGTACTGGCATCACTCAGTGATCCATGCCTACCAAGGACGTCCCTCCGTAATTTTGAATACTGTTCTCTATTTACCAGATTAGTTGGTTGTTAGAAATCTTAAACCAGAAAAAGACATTGTTTTTTCTCACTTGCTTTTGTCATATTTCTCCATCTGTATGATAAAGATGAGAAAAAGTTTCTTTTAAAATATTTTTAAAGTAATAATACTTTACATTATCACAGCCCTTTACAAACACCAAAGTGCTCTCATACATGTTACCTCCACACATCCTACCAACTCTGATTGGTAGATTGCCCAGTATTGAATTCTGATTTCAACCACTTTGTGTGACCTTGAGGAATTTACATAATCCCTCTGTGCCTCAGTTTCCTCATCTATAAAGTGGAGATAATGACAATTCTTATACCTCACAGAATTGCTATGAGGATCAAATGAATTAATATATGTAAAATGCCTAAAACAGTGCCTGTGCCACACCCTGTATAGGTCTTGGCTATTTTTTTTATTATTATCATCATAAACAATCATCACATATGGGTCTCACAATGATCTTGGTAAAGGCAGGACAGTAAGTTATCATTTTACCTATTTTTCCAGATAAGAGAATCAAGGCTCTGAGAAATCAAGTGACTCACCTAAAGTCATAGTCAAAAAGCAAAATCACAACTAAAGAACCGAGAACTAAGAAAGGATAGAGACTTTTCGGATGATACATTTCGAATGATACATTGTGCTGTATCATATCACATAGTACATTTTTGATATAGTTTGATATAGTTCAATATACTTCTAAAGACCATAATTACCATTCTTTTAAACATTTAAACATGCAAATAATTTTAGGCAACACAGACTGGTAGCCATGCTGAGAATGAGACTTTTATCCAAGATACCATTTCATTTAAGTATTTTCAGAGTAGAAGTGAGTCAGACTTTTAAAGAGAAGTATGCACTGAATAATTAGGCTGGCTGGACAAGGTGAACCTGTGATTAGTTTTCCAACATTTAAAATTTCTTTTAAACAGCAAAATGTATAACCCATGGAACTTCAACACTTCCATGTTATGATTTATGTTGGGCAGTAGAAACAACATGGCATTCAGAGTCAAAATTCAAGCTCCAGTTCCTTCTAAGTAGGGACACTGAACAATCATGTTATTTCTCTGGGCGTCAGTTACTTATCTGTCAAATGAGGACCAACTTAACAGGGCTGTTATGAGAAACAGCTATGATTACATAGGTGAAAAAGTTTGTAATTATAAAAACTATACCAAAATGTGTTTACTATTAGCTGCTTTGACTACATTGAGGAATAATACTGAATATTCATTCATTAACCATTTTCTTCCATTAAAAAAACTGCTGACAGACGACTTCCAATATAGAAGTATCATCCTGAGTATTGTGTAATTATTTAAAGTGACAATCTGGACTAATCATTGTGACTCTTTCACAGTGAAAGAGAAATTTAGGCAACCTGTATAGTATCTATTCTAGTACCATATGCTTTAAAGGAGACATAAGAAAATCTGAATACAAGAAATAAGAGAACAAATCAAGTGATAAGCACATGCATTTTTCTGTTTTTAAATTCAACAGTAATAAATATTTTCAATTAAATCACAAGGAAACTCAGTGGACATACTATCATTATAGCAGTAATAATAATACATTACATATGGGTGACACTTCAGTTTTCAAAGCATTTCACATATATCATCATAGAAATACAATAAATGTCATTCTGTTTGTTCACAAGAGTATT